ATATATATATATATATATATATTTATTCATTTATATATCAATCCTCATCGTGATTTGAATAGGACAAAATTAATAGTCATAATCAACTTATAAAGAAGAAAATGGGAAAAAAAATAGGAAGTTATATGAAAATAAAGTGAAAAATAAATATTAGATAAAATTTGTATTAATTCGATGATCGGGCCATAATTGGGCAGAAAAATTGAACATTCTTTAGGACCGCCATTTTTCTGGCAACCTGTTGTTCCTTTAAATTTCGTGCGTATAGCACCACCTATAACCCACGCCAAAGAACTACAAGCTACGTGTCGTAGTCATAAAAAAGTATGTAATGTGAGTTACGGTCGTGCAATAGTGTTTGGATATTATTCATATTATATTTCATAGTACAATCGGTAGTATCGATAAGAAAAAACGAAGAAAGGAAAGAAGAGAAGAGAATTTTTTTTGTCAAGCACGACATTAATACTGGATAACCTTGTTCTGGCGTCCCCCCATACATATTTAGAATAGTAAGTAAAACGTTTACAACTTTCTACTTGTACAAACTTCTTTACATGCTTCTTTTTTTGCGTCTATTTTCGTTTATACTTTAATCAATATTAATATTTCATGACGAACACGATTTTTCTTATATTTTACTTGTATAAGATATATACCGTTGTTTGACATAAAGTCGTCCTATGTACTTTTAAATGGAAGCGTCATAATTACCACGCTTTGTCGATGCTTCTTCTGCGTTTCTGCATGATGAGAATGGAAACTTTCAATATTTTAAAAAAGATACTGCATCCTACGTGTAGTTTTATTATATTCAATTTTAAATTCATTTATATTCGAAGAAAAATCGTGCGATTGTATTATTTTTACTAATAAGCTTTTAAAACTACGACAAATTATTATATTAATAACCTTTGTTTAATGGTTTTTTTATTTTTATTTATTTTTTTTTTTTCATTGCAGGTATCTTGCTGAAATCAAATTATATTCTAAAAAAAAAAAAAAAAAAATCCACAGTTATGTTTAAAAGTAAACATTGTTTATTAGAATTTTATTACTTGGTTTATTGAAGTTTAGTATTATGTTTGTTTCACAGTTATTAATAATTATTTTTATAAACTAAATGTTCAAAGTTTGATCAAGAAAAAAGGAAGCTTTATTATAAACGTGTATTCGTGCACGTATTATACTTTTGCTTAAAAAAAAAAGAACAAGGAATTAAGATTATGTTTAATAATCAAATGATAAATATAACAACAGCAAAAGAAGATGATGCTACAGAAGAACATAGTTTGAGTAATGAAAGAAAAGAACAAACATTTCTAACAGATTTGAGTCCACTTAATGACAATAGATTATTTCTCAGACGGTCATATACATCACCAAGATTATTTAAATCATTAAGAAATAGAGGTTTCCTTTGTTATAGAATGAGCAGATCATTAAGCTTTGACAATAATAAGAATGATCGTTTATTTAAATCTCCTAATTCTAGTTCAGGAAGTAGCAATGTGGATAACGAAAAGCATTTAACAAGATCAGCTAAAATAATGAGAGCACTTAATTTTAATTGCGGTCCATTTTACAGTCAACGAAAAAAAATCAAAAAGACATTAAATTTTAACTTATCACCAAGTCCAAAGAAATTTTCTAATCTTAAAAGTTCAAGAGACAATATGAGTTTCAATTTGGCCACGTCTTCACCTAAAATTAATAAAACGTTGAATTTTGACACAAGTCCAAGTAATTCTAGTACAAGCAGTATACTTCTTACATCATTTGATTCTACGGACGAAAATCAAAATCAAACTCCATCTCAACGAAATAAAAAAGCTAAAAAGATATTGGATTATATTACACCGAAAAAAAGGATGTATGTTTCATCTCAGAGTATGGATATATCATCTCCATCTTTACGTTTGAGTCTTAAGGAAAAGATTGATGACATTGTACAAATGAATTGTTCACCCTCGCATTCTTTTAATCAAAATAGAAAAGCATTAAATTTTAATACTCGTTGCAATATTAGCACACCGAGAAATTTGTATGCAGATTTTTCTAACGAAGATGATGAAAGACCGCATACACCTGAAAATACAATTCCTATTATTCCTGAAAGTATGAGTGCCATAAAGAAGAGTCATAAAAAGGTAAGAATAAAATTCTACTCTAACTCATTGTTTAATAAAATTATGCATTTTATTATTTTATTATATACAAGTATTGTTTTATTTCTTCTTACATAGGAAAGATCACTACGACAAATGGATAATTTATCTATAAAACATGCAAATGTACTAGACAAATTAACAGATCCTTTCATGGTTGTTGAACAATTTGATGATTTGCGAAGAGAAAAAAGACCCTTAAGTCCACCTATGGTTGAACAAAATATTGTATCTGTCTGTGATACAAATTCTATTGAACAATCTCATAAAAAAGATAAAAGTAGGAAAAAAATTGCAATGTTACTTTCTGGAGATGAACTTTCTGACTCAGGATCTATTTTTGAATATTCCATAGGACAAGGAAATATAAACAGAAAAAATAATACATGCCATACCGAAATTAATCTTAATAAAAGTGATGATATCATAGATTATGATTCAAACAGTAACAATATATCAGCAAATAGTATTGGTTGTTGTGAATTAATAAATAGTTCAAATGAAACAATAAATAATCAAAGTCTTGATATTATTACTGGTATTGATACAAAATCTAGTTCTAGTGTTGAGGAAGAAGTATGTAGCACAGTTTCTCAAAATCCCTTACCAAGTACTAGTAATGCCAATAAGATAAATAGATCAGTAACACCACTAACATGTGAAACTAATTCTGTATCACCAGTAAGAGTAATAACTCCAGAAAATCAAATAGATTTCTTACAACAAATTCAAACTGAGTCAATTAAAAAGTCTCATAAAAAGATTAAGGAAGAAAAAAGGAAGAAACTTTTTTTACCTAGAAATCTTGAACATAAACTTAAGGAAGCAAAATTGGATACTGTTAAAAATAAGCATTTTGAAGTATCAAAAGATGATCAAGATGATGATGATCATGATGATGATGATGATAATAATATTCCAACAAATGAGAACTGTGTTAATATAGACATTGTTGTTCGTGCTAGTACACCTGAAAATGTTAATTCTAGCAGATTGTTATTGTCAAATTTTACTTCGGTTAAAAAATCACACAAAAAAGACAAACATAATAAAATCGTTTCACAATTTATACGACGTCAACAATTGTTAAATAAAGATGCGGATTATAATAATGTGCAACATGAATTGCACAATGACGTAATCAAGAAGGATCAACGAAAAATCAAAAATAAATTTCATGAAAATGATGGCGCTATGTCTAATTTACATATAGATAATATCAAACTTGACTTTAAGGTGTCTCCAAGTAAAAGAAAAATATTATCCTGTTTACCAAATGACGATGACAATGACGATGACAATGACGACGACGACGATGATGATAATAATGATGATGATGATGATGATGATGATGATTTATTACATTTACCGTGCAATTCTAAATTAACACAAAGTGAGGGTAGAAATATGGAGGAATTTAAAATTTCTACACCTATTAAAAAAAGAAGAGCATTATTACAAACTGATGTGAAATCTGATTGTTTACATAAAGTACAGTCAAATACAAATGATTCATTTGAAGAAGAGATTGTAAATATCGATGCATCTAGATGTTTAACCCCCATTCAAAGATATCTTGGTTGTACGGTATTATCAAGGCAAAATACTGATCTGTTAAAAACAATTAATGACGATAAGAATTCAAGTAATGGGAAAAGTAATTCAATTGAAGAAGAAGAACAACAGCAGCAACCTGATACGCAAGATCAGAATGGAAGATCAACACCTCAAAATATGTCTACAATAGAATTACTTCCTAACATTAATTCCATTAAAAAATCTCATAAAAAGGATAAACGTGGAAATGGATTACATAGAAGTCTTATTTTAGAACAAGAAAAATTATTTTTAAAGAAAAATGATTACAACTATTTGCAGAATGATCATAGAAATTCAACAATAATTTCTAAACCAAATGATAATAAATCAAGTTTAGCTGATAATACTTGTTCAACAAATATGTTGAACGAAGGTAGTAACAACTATGCGCAAAATTCAACTGTTACAATTTATAAAGATTCTCCAACTATCAGTCAAGATGTTAATGTTAATGATAGAGAAAATATCCTAACAAATGATACTACCTCATCTAATAAGACTCCGCCAAACTGTTTAATGGTAAAAAATTATATGAGATTGTTGCAAACAACTTCAATTAAAAAATCTCATAAGAAAGAACGAGATCGTAAGAAACATAAAATAATAAATAAAGACCCAGAATTGTCAGATGAAGGATCTATATTTGGAGAAAGTGAGAAAGTTGATACCACCTTAGACGATTTACATATTGAAATTAATAGCAATAAGACTGATATAGATAGATCTGATTATGTATAGATTATAAATGAAGAGATATAATGTAAAAGAAATAAAAAAAAAGGTATTTATTGTAAATCATTATTATATTAATATATTAGCTTAGTAAGTAATCTAAAATTCATAATTTTATTTCAGATTAATTAATTAATTATAACAGAAGAGTCCAAATTTTTTTAGTGGCAATATTCTAAGGATGGACGACCTATATTTTTTCATGTAAGGCATTTTTGTTTTCAATTTTTCTAGTAAAAAAACACGCAGCCTTTTGTAGGCAATTAATAATGTATTTGCTCTCTTAACTTTCTATAAACATAAATTAATGTTAACAGTATTTTATTAAAAGAAATTATTGATTTTAAGATAAATGCACAAGCATAAAGGACGACGAGTCTTTGTTATAAACGAATCTATAATACAATACGCAACTTAAGTGTTAATTTTTGATACATTATTATTATTATTATTATTAACAGTATTCATAAACGTAAACTGTATACAATTAATCCTATTCTAACAGTGATACAAATTATTACTTTCATTATTACTTTCAAAATTAACGTCATTGATGAAATAATTGAGAATTAAACTTAGGTCAATTATTTCTAATAATATCTTAATAACATTAAATAATATTTTAAAACATTAATCAATACAAAAGTTTATTCACAAGGTGTTGGTTAATGTACATTAAAATTACATTTAGTGTAGAATAATTGATCATGTTTATAAGCCAATTTTTCTGCACAACATATAATTATAATATATAATTGAAAAAAAAAAACAAAAAAACAAAACAATTAATTTCATAATGTTAAATTGATAACTTTATTAGATTCGTCGTTACAACATTATCAAGAAAAATACATATAAGTTTTGAGATGATAATGATAATAATAAGACTAATATAGCTTTATGCTGAACATTTTAAAACTATCTAATTAGTATTATCAAGATATGATGATGGTGTCAAGATATATTTGAAAAGGTTATATACGGCAATATAATCGAAATCATTTAATATAAGAAGTTTAGTTTATATTTGATATATGTTTGTTACAAAATAGTAACACAATTGTTAATTTAATTCCCACGTATTATTATACCTAAAACCTGTTACATTTGGTAGATAATTTATAAATACTATATTTTTTATTTTATATCGTTTATATATAGTATTTCCATAGAAATTGTTTCTCTCTCTCTCTCTCTTTTTTTTTTTTTTTACATATGATATCGAAATATATAAATCAAGGTGCATTTTTGACTTATCATATATATATATATATTACAAATAATACATTTGCATTAAAGTATGAGGCATATGTACATATCTGTGTCTATGTTGGGAATTCCACTTTTAATATAGCATTGAAGATATGTAAATCCTAGTATAAATGTGATATGTATATAATGCTTAACTCTAGTGAATATCGTTTAGATCTAAGAATTACATTTCATAAATATAACTATGTTCCTTTTTTTTTTTGTTTTTTTGTTTTTTTTTTTTAATTAAATTTTCTCTTCCTTTTTTTTACTCTTTTTATTTACAATGTTTGATAACAAATATTATTAACACGTGTTAAGCATCGAATCTCTTTTTTTTTTTTTTGTTTTGTTTAAATTTCTGTTCATGTCACGATAATATATTATACATCAGTCAGAGAAATATACAAGAATGTTAGTAGTTATTGGTGATGGACGTGGCTAGAATATAAATTGTACTGCCAGTCACTGGTGACTGACGTAGCGTTTAATATGTTAAGTTTTAATAATAAATAAAGATGTTTAAGTTTCAGCAAAGTAAGTTACAGTATTCATGTTTGATCAATTATATTAGAAGAAATCAAATTTTCTTGCGTTGCTCTATAAGTTTAAACAACTATTCGCATAAAAGTTTGTATATAGCTTGTGATATTGTTTACCGTTTTGTTTTACTCTAGTATAATATTTTAGTATGTATATTATTCTCTGCATGTTTGTAACGAAATATTTTGTATATTTATATTAAAAACAACAAAAAAAATAATAATAAAAAAAAATAAAAAAAAAAATAACATTAAAAATTAAGAATCTAAATTTTTATTAAAAATTAATTCAATCAAGCAGGAGAAATATCTTAAGATAGAGATAATTTATTATGTAGATAAATTAACATTACTTTATAACGAAATTAAAATTTTGCCGTATTTTAGACAGTTTTTTAATCGTTAATTATTATAATTTTTTACTTCATTCGTTGAAATTGTAATCTTTTTAGATTATCCGTGCCTCATCAGATGACGCGCGCTTGTCCAGCGCGTCTTTTCCTATTGGTGTAACTGTCAACCAATGAGATGTTAGGATCAACTCCGATTACGCTTTCTGGACGCCCTCTGTCGAGCTTATGGTATGACTGCTACATACTAAACTTAACCATAAGGTATTTCTAAATAAAAGAAGAATATTATTTCATTCAGCAAATAATGATTTATTAAACTTATTATGAAATTTTTAATTAACACATTTTCACGTGTAAAGAAATTGTAAAAATTAATGTGAGGATTTACGCTTATTAGATTAGCAGTGGTCTGTGTTTGTTAATTGGTTATTCGATGTGTCTTTGCTATTGGTTCTAAGTAACATGACGTAGGAAAAAATCAATCTTTTATTGATTATTGTGATCAATCTACATGAGTAAACTCTATGTTAACATCGTATGGTTCATGGATACAAAAATATGGTGTGGTAACCACGGAGCCCAGATACCAGGAGGGCCCTCCGTGAGGAAAGTGATCGACATAGGAAAATAACTAGCAAATGCGACTAGAAAGAAAAGGAAAGATCGGATATGCGAATCCGAAATGTTGTATATTTCTGCCAGATGGCGCTTGGATCAATTTTGTTGTTTTTTTCACTATGATTGCACGGAAGAAAGCGATTTCCACTAGACGACTCTTATAGACACTGTTTTTAATCCAAATGATTTGATAAAGATACTTTAACGTATTTTGAAAAATTTTAATTATTAATATTATGAAGAATTAATATTAACTAAATATAATTTACAAATATATATGATTTATATATATATATAACAACATTGTTTAGTTCAAGATGGCAACCATTAACTTCCTGTACTGTATGTAAGATAATAAATGTTAGCATCAAGTAATTGAAATTTTTCAACGTTATATAAATTATGAAATATTTTCTAAAAAAATCCAATAAACATTTACGTATCTCCTGTATATTTTATTTGTAATTTTCATTTGTTCTTATTAAAATTGTATTTAATCAATAGAACTATTAAACAATTATCGTAGTGAAAAATTCAAATTTGTAAACGTATTGAAAATTGAATCAGAAGAAGAAGAAGAAGAAGAAGAAGAAGGAGAAATAAATAAACACAATGATCTGAAAGTACAAGGAACAAGGATATTTGTCAATTTAAAGTTAAAGATATAAAGTTAGAGATAAAAATTAGTTATTAAATAATACGAAATAATATCGAATAAAAAATAATAGTTAATTTTGGATATCATCATGAAAGTAAGAACAGCCGTAGTTACTTTAATTTTTACTATTATAATTGTAATTGTATTGTGCAAAAGACAAGGAGGAAACAAGCAAGATCAACCATTGAATCAACAAATGGATCGTTTGAAGGATACTTCCTTTATGAAGAAACAACTTGATTGTATTTTAGATCGAGCACCGTGCGATAAATTAGGATTGAACATGAAAAGTATGCGTCTTTTTTTTTGTTTTTGAAAAAGATGTTTTAAGTTACAAACCATAATTAATAATATTGTATTGTTAATGGCATTATTTGTTTTAGCTATGATTCCAAAAATGGTAGTTAACAACTGTCGAGATTGTAACCCGTCATTAAGACAAAATTATGGAAAATTACGAAATTTTATGTTACAGTATTATCCAGTCGAATGGAATGCTATAATTAAACGTTATTCAAAACTTCCACATGCTTCCGCTTGAAATTAGAATAATTCGATCATTGTATCTGTAAGATTGTTGTTTTTTTTTTGGTTTTTTTTTTTACTATTTTATATACAACAGACATTTAACTAAAAAAAAAATTATAATTTATACGATTGCTAATAAGATGAATAAAAAGAATGTTTACTTTTGATAAATCCCGTAAGACGTTTATTGTTTCATTGCATCAGAACAAAAAAANAAAAAAAAAAAGGAAATTAAAATAACAGTAAATTGTTCATTGAAAAAAAAAAAAACAAAAATTATTTTAACTGATGAAATGGCACGTTGTTATGTATGCGACTTTTCTAACACATCGATTCTTCTACTTACATAATATGTGTAAATAATTTTCTCTTTGCACGTCTTGCATTTTATCGTATCGTATCTTAAATATTTGTAAAAGAACATTTTTTTTTTTTTTAATTAACACACGTTTGAATCAATATTAAACATCGATATCATTTTGATTGAGTTTTTTATAAAAAAAACACAAAAAAAAAAAAATTAAAAAAATTTAAATAACACCTGGAACTTTACGAAATGTATTATTGTAAAAACAATCTAAAAATATTTGTCCTTTGTTATTATTTTTTTTTTTTTTAGTTTTTTCTTTTTTTCTTGCATTTTGAAATCAATTTCGTTCTAATATTTAATAACAAACTACTATAACAAATAACTTTGGTTGATACATTTTTGCATCTATATAAAAGAGTAGAGTAGAGTGCATAATTAATTAAAAAAATAATTATTAAATAATATATTAAAAAGAAACGTACAATAATGGCATTCATCATAGTTTCAAACGATTTCAAAGTTTACATTTACAACACACTGCATTTGCTTTTTATATGAATAAATGAAAAATAATATATTCTATATTCATTTGTTTATTTAATTTAAGTACGTATATAAGATCGATGTTGAATCGATCAATTTGTTTAAGAATCATAAAAAGCGATTTATCTTGACGTAATTCCAGTGCAATAAAGTATTGTTAATATGTTCTCATACATTATGCAAAATAAATAACTTCATCGAAATTTTCAGAGTCATAATAATTGGTATAAATGCAGCATATACTTCATTATTATTATTATTATTATTATTATTATCATTATTATTATTAATATTAATAATGTTATTATTATTATCATTATCATTATTATTATTATTATTTGTTTTCTTTATCTTGTTTCATTTTGCATACATAACAATGGAGAAATAATAATATACAAGGAAATGTACAAATTCTCTGTAATTTAAGTGATACAGGCATCATATATGTTCTTTTTTTCTTTTTTGTTTTTTGTTTTTGTTTTATACAATATTATCTAAAAATCGATCGATCATTTTTTGCTATTACATTAAACACATCTTATTTCTAATACTAATTTAATATCTATCTGGAAAAGTTAACAGGAACTGCAAAGTAATCTTAGATAATTATTTAACTCTATAAATCATTATTTCGTTTGTTTATTAAAAAAAAAAAACAAACAAAGAGATAACGAAATAAACATTAGTGAAAATACGAAGAAAAAAAAGATACGAATGTAATAACAAATGTATAATATCCGATCGATATATGTCAGAGCTTCTCAAATTGTAATTTGCGATTCTTCTATGGGTTACATCAAGTTCAGATTTCATAATAGGATCGTGTAACTGAATTTTGGGAATATTGCGGAAATTCTAATACAGTTTTATTTATATAATATTGTCCAATGTATATATATATATATATTGTATTCACATGTATACCAATGAATTACTTTACAATAAATTACTTTTTGTGATTTGTTATTAGCAAATGTTTAAGGTTTTAGGTTTTGAGTTTGATAAGCTCTGATATATATATATTGTGTAACAATAATTATGCCAATAAATTAAATCGATACAAATTATTGAAGATTAAATTGATTTTATGATTTATTTCAAAATAATATTTAATATTATGAAATAAATCATGTGAAAAATCAACTTTCATTTTTCACTTAATAATACATTGTCGCAATTACATGAACATATATACATACACGTACATAAATATGTATATACATGTATATATGTATTAAATATATATATATGTATATAATTTTTTATTTTATTTCGAATCGAAGTTAATTAAAAAATATATTTACAATGATTGTTATACATATATATATATATAATAAGTTATAAGGAAATACACGAAAGACTTGAAAAATTGGATTAAAAAGAAGCGGAACAGGTTGGGGGGGAGGACAGTTTAATGCATTCGATTGATTGTGCATGTATACAAAAGGAGAGAGAAGATGTAAAAGGGTTGAAGAGGATGATAATTGTGTGACGTGTTGAATCGACGTAAATAGAATTGTAATGTATGTAATATAGTATTTCATTTGGGGATAAGCTATATTAAAGCGTCAAATTGTTCGAAATTTCTTCAATTGCATCTATCTTCTTTTCTTTTTCTTTTTACATATGTGCGCGCGCGATATTTATCATAAATTTGCTTTTTTATTGTGTGTTGTTTGTTCGTTTAGCTGTTTTTTATTCGTTTGGTTGTTGTTGGTTGTGTTTCTTAATACTAATAATCGTTATCGGTATTTCGTTTGTTTTGTAACGTGTAAGTATATATGTATATATTTATAAATACCCATATAATAATAATAGGCGAAGAGAAACAAGATGGCAGCTGTGATGTAAAAGAGAAATATTTGCTATATTTTTTATTTTTTGTTTTTGTTTTTTGTTTTCTACGAAAAAGAAAGAAAAAAAGAATTTATAAAATTAATCGCGAAAAATCCTTCTAACTATATATTATTTCTAATAATAATAATAATAATATGTATATCCGACATTTTAGGACGGGTCAATTTATACACACACGCACTCATGCACATATACACACACACACACACAAATGTCGATATTAATTATTAATTTGTAACGTCATGTTACAATGTTCCGTACATACATTCAACCTTTTTTTTTTTTTTTTTACAGAAAAAAAAACAAATTATCTTTTATATCTTTTTTCGATCGAAAAAAAAAAAAAACTATTAAACAATATGGTGGAAGAGACGTTGTTATTCAAAAGTTGTTCAAAGTTTGATGCAACTCCGACGACCCATTATGGGGATCAAGCAACTGTATTTGAAGACCAAAGAGATTTTACCTAAAGCAATTAATATCTTGACATAAAATGACTGTAAATTATATTCAAAACCAGTTTAGCAACGTTATACATATATACGTTCGTGAATTTATTATAATGAAAAAGAAAATATGGGTCACAAAAATATTTGCTTAGTTAAAGGGGGGGAGTAGGGGAGAAGGGGAAGGGCTGTTCGCCAAATAGAAATGTTTAAGAAGTCCTGTTGTATCGTAAGGTCTCTTTCTCTTCCTTTTGACTTAATTAAGATCTGGTTACTACGCAATAATAACCAACGTGCGGACGTTTAATTCCATGTGATTAACATACCACGTGGTGTATCTATCATTTTTAAAAAACTTATAATCTATTTTATCATTAATCTTTATAATCTTTTCTTTCTTTCTTTCTTTTTTGTTTTATTTGTTTGTTTATTTTTCACTCTACTGCAATTATATTTGTTCGTTTATTAATTAAATGTATTTGTAATAAGGCGTCTTCGATGTCCAATATTTCCTTGTATAGAGCAAAAAAAGGTACTTCTTTCTTTTTCTTTTTCTTTTTCTCTTTCTCTCTCTCTCTCTCTCTCTCTTTTTCTTTTTTTTTCTTCTTTCTTTCTCGCTACTAATTTTTTTTTTTTTTTATTTATTTATTTATTCTTGTTGTTGTTGTGTGTGGTAATATATCGTCGTTTATAATATGGCGGATCGCTGTAGTTATATATGACTAGCTTTGAAGGGGAAGATTTTAAAGGCACCTGCATTCACCAATCGATAGATTCACTTGTTAAAAATACCAAAATAACTTGCAATTTGCTCATTCAATTAAATGAATTCGAGTTTATAAACGATATGTCATTCTCCTCTTCTCTTTGATTTTAATTAAACAAAAGCGATTTGTCAATTACACAAAACACGGATTTAGAAAAAAAAAAAAAAACACTTTTGAATGATGATTATGATGATTGAAGATTCTAATTACGCACACATTATGAATAATAATAATAATAATAATATTAATAATAATAATAATATTAATAAAAATAATAATTAATGATAATATAACAATGATGACGATGATGATGACGATGATGATATTATTCTTCAAGAAAAAGTTCTATCTTTCTTTTTCTTCTACTTATTTATTAATTTTTCCTTGTTTATTTGTTGTAAAAACGGGTTATGCAGACGTTTTGAATTTTCACTTTTCATCGAATTTACTACTTAACGATAATATATATATATAACTACTATATTGCAATACATTATATATATATATATACCTTAAATATTAAGTATGGAAATAACTTCATAATGCTATATATATATTTTGTAACTTCCATACTCAATATGATATCCACAGATGCATATATACATTTATGTATGTATAATACACATCTATGAATATTATGTATATATGTATACATACATACATACATATATATTCATATAATTTTGTATTTCTTATCCAAATGAAGAATATTCTAATTTCAAGTCAAAATTGGCTTATATGCCATACTTATTAACTGTACGATAATGTACAGTCTATAGTTTCTAGGAAAGTTTCATGACGCATCATTGGAAACGCTTATAAAGCTAGCTAGAGTTTTCTCTTATCTATTCACATTTTTTTTTGTTCAAATAAATACACAACTATCACATTGATATACACGCTCCTTAAACTTCTATATATATATATTTATTTTTTTATTTCTTGTCTCTCTTCAGACTTCAACAAAGATGCTGTTCTTGTTGTTATTGTTGTACGTACATATACGCATATATATGTCTTGATTCTCCTGTAGATAATTTTTGAATGAAAAATCATCCAAAGTTCTCTCAGTTCTCAATATGAAGATGATACACGTGATACATTATTACAAGAAGGACATTTACAAGATAAATAATCTCACACCCTTCATCACATTAGTCTCTCTTCATTCATCTATCTTTCTTGATTTCTTTTTATCTATATAACCTTTTTTTTTCTCCTTTTTTTTTCTACTATTCACTTGTTGAACAATCGTTAATAGTCTCCTCGTTCACATGATGATGATGATGATGATGATGATGATGATAATAATAATAAAATGCCTCTTTATAATAGCTGCCAGAAAAGTAGATAAGATTTCACTCTTTTTCCACTTTAGATTTTGTCGAGATTAGTTCTTTAGTCCAAGAGCTATTATTACTTATTTTTATATAACTTTTTGTATTCTTCAACTGAATTTTATTAAAAAAAAAAAAAAAAAAAAAGGTAAACATATTTATGAGAAGTTTTGTCTTTTACGTCTTAAATAATGAAAAAAAAAAAAAGAAGAAAGAAAAAAGAAACTCAGTATAAGAATACAATAAGATTAATTCATAGCTCTTTTTATTTTCTCGATTTAATTAGCTTCAACGTCGATGTTCATTGTCGTTGTCGTTGCCAGCAGCAGCAGCAGCAGCATATGATAGGCTAACTTTAGGAAAATCTCTTCATGGTAAGGAACCATCGATCATCGACCAATCTTCGGAGATAAACTATTCTTTTCTTTTCTTCCTTTTCGAGAAACATTTTGTTGTTGTTGTTGTTGTTGTTGTTTTGTTCATTTTTATTTTTATTTTCAAACACGTCGAATTATTATTTTGATCACTGTCTTTATATATATATATATATATATATATATTTATATAATTTGTGTATTTATGTATATATACGTATTTATATACACATATCAGTACCTTGTCCTGTTATATATTTTTGTTCACTGTTGGTTGTGATACATCCTACTGATGTTTCTAAAACGATCAGATCTTTTTCTGATCGTGTTCTAGAATCTCTCTTCAAAGTTATCTTTGAGATCCAAGTACAGTCTTTCATGTCAATCGAGTTTCTTTAGAAACTCTATACTCTAAGTTATTATTTAACTTTTCGAATAAACATTTGTCTTTTGTGCCTTTTTCTTCCTTGCGGCTAGCATGTCGTAAAATGGATTGTGTGATATACTTTGCCTAAAAAAAATGGGAAAATAAATCTTGTTAATAGAGAAGAATACGAAGAGAGAGAGAGAGAAAGAGAGAGAGTGAGAGAAACGAGAGTGATCATCAATGTATTCGTTTTTTACTAACAATACTTACCGTACACATTTGATCCATTCATCTTTCTCCTCGTCTGTTGCTGCAGACATTCTGTACACTGTGTGCTTGCCTGTTAAAATACAAATTGAAAGTAAAGATTAATTAAATGATTGGTACACTTTGAAATTAACACTTAACTAATCGATCGATCAAGTAGATCATCTTCACGTTTAGAATGTAATTAGACAGTGCAGTGAATGTTGTTGTTGTTGTTGTTGAGAGCAATTGGTTCTCTGTTGTGTGATTAAGATTATTAAAAATATATATACAAATGATATACCTTCGACGACCTTTCCTTCGCTATCAGTTTTACATGCTTTAATAAATTCTGATCCAGCTGCATAAAGTTCAAAGCAATGAGGTTTGTGTCGATCTTGTACTTCTCTAACTTGGATGTTTTCTAACGGAATGATACCGCGTGGTTCCTTGTCCGTCGTATATTCAAAATAATATAGGCAATTGTCGTTAAGAATAAACCACCGTCTTTTCCAGCTTTTGTAACGTCCACCTGAAACAGTCATTATAAATACGTTTAAAGTTATAACTATCAATGATGTCACTCGAATGCATTAGTTACCTGCTGTCTCCGTCAGGGCAGCAGAGGGACAAAGCGATAATAATATAAGAACAGGCCTCTCTTTTCAAGCATTAAAAAGCGCTTCAATAGGATTACCAAGTTACTACTATAGTACATTCTTCATTGACACGTCTTTTCTCTTCTTCTTCTTCTACTTCTTCTTCTTCTTTATCAATTATCATGATTAATAATAAGAGAGGAAAATTTTCCTTTCAAAAATTATGTTATAGATTTGTTGATCTAGTTCGACAGGCATATATACGAGTTGATGATTATAAAATAAGTTTTGAAATATATATATTTTCATATATTTAAGAAGCCTTCATTATTTAAAAATTATTATTTTTTTTTCTTTTTTTTTTTATAAATAATAACAGATATAAAAACTTCTTTTTTTTTATATGTAACTTAAAAATCTTCAAAATAAGTTGAAACGTACAATATTTATTTCTTAATATCTCGAATAATTTAAATAGCTTTTTTTGTAAATCACCAACTAACATATAAATGTGCATGAGAGCAAAAATACTATTAGAAAAGATTTAATTATCAACTCAAGTTTCATATGATAATCAATTGTCAATTAACATAATTTTTGTTTATAGATAACAAAAAGATAAGAAAATATATTGAAGTTAGATATGTGTAAGTAAAATTATTTCATGGCTCGTAAAACTCAAAGTAGATATAGTTTTTTTTCTTGAATATCCTCGTTCATCCCTTTTGAAAGACGCGAAGAGTACCGTTTCTCAGTATAACTTTTCTTATGGATTCGAATTCGAAGAAGAGATCGGACGTGTTATTAGAAGTGACGCTAAGTCGAAAGGGGACGAAAAAGTGTTGGGAGGAGACTATAGTGGTGCTGGGTTGACGAGACACGTCGACAGGAAATTACCTTGCTTCCAAAGCCAGCCTTCCTTATCGGGGTTAAAGAAGGTGTGCATCAAATCGTTGCCATCGTCTTCCGGGATCTTGAATGGTTCCGTTTTTATGCTTTCGTAGAGACTCTGAAGAAAGTGCAATTCCTTACATTATTGATCTTGCTATCAAACTCGTTTATACATTTTGAAAAAAATATTATTTGTTTTTTATATATGTTTTAATAAATTGATCGATCAAGTTTATAGCAGTAAGAAAATAAATTGCAAAAATATCTGATAACAGGTATGTATTTTTGGTTGGATTATTTGTTTCTTTTTATATGGAAAAAAAATGATGAAAGCATTGTTAAATTGATAAAAGATCATCAATGGCGCCCAAGAATTTGTTCCCGAGGATTATAATAACGAGTATATAATATCGTCGTTTAAAATGACGATCGAAATGATTTCTCGTGTTATATCCATGGCGCTCGGTGCTATTACTATACTCATAAATCTGTCATTAAAGAATCATTCAGACGTTTCATAGCGACATTTCTCCTGACCCCTTGTACTCCCTTTTTAGCTATCATGGCGGCGTCAGTTGTAGTCTCGTGTATATGTACGGACGTTCGTTCATTTCATTGAGACACTTGCATAAGCTTGCCAATTGCTTTATATATCCCATTGCAAAAGATAATCGTCGACCGTGTGTGTGGTATGCATTTGTTCAATATAAAAACTTTTACATTCGAAAATAAGAAAAATTCAAATTTTATTATCTCGAGAAAATAAGAATTACGTTTATTTTTTCTTGTTTTTTTTTTTTTTTTTTATTATTGCAATTTCTACGGTTAAATTAATATTCAAAATTCGTAGGGAGCTACATTAAAACAAACTATGCAAATTTCATGAAATAGAATAGTAAATTAAACAATTTTTCTATCCGTAGTTATTTTACGTTAGCTGACATTTTGTTTTTTTCTATTTTTCACTCTTTTTTTTCTATATATATATATATTTATCTCTGTCTCTATATGTAAAAATATTTCGTATTCATGTATTCAGATATTTGAGTGGGTTCGAGATAAAAGATAACGGTGTATCACTATTATTATTTGTTTGTTTCGAGGAAAGTTTTACAATTTTTATGACCGGAAGATCAAGCTCCGTTTGTGGTTTTAAAATTTCAGGGTTTTTTATTTTTTTTTATTTTAAACAAAATTTTCAGATAAGTAATACGATATAAACAGCTTTCGATGCTATTAGCTTTGAGCTGTTACGAGCTAGGAGTACTTTTCTATGGCATCTATCAATTTCATTAGGTACTATAACTAGGCTTCACCAGATATACAAGATATTTACGAGTGAAAAAGAGAAAAACCAGACCAAAAAAAGGAAGAACTAAACAAGAAAACTATTTTAATATGCATGTCCTAAAAGAGGAGACTGCCTATAATTGGGACAAGAGGTCAGATGAACGAGATGGCAGATATGTATGCGATTGAGCCGTTTCCACGAAGAGATCCCACTTGTCTAACGAGTGGCCGAGGGATTGCAGGGTCAGCCCTCTCTAATTCATTCGATTTTTTTTTCAAGGGTTTCCTTTCAAAAGAGGAAGCGCGCGCGCAAGTGTTGAGTGTACCGAGAAATCTCGGTCGGTAAAAGTTAAAACAAAAAAAAAAAAAATCAAAAATCATTTCAACGAAAATACAAAAAAAATTTCCAGCTCCAACTAATTGTTAGAGAGAAAGAAAAAAAAATCAAAGACAATAAATACAGATATAAAAACTTGATCGAATCTTTTTTTTTGATAAAGAATTGAAAGAATATTCTGAAATAACGTTAAAAAAAAAAAACTTACCACGAGTAATTCTCGTGGTAGGTCGCCGCCATTGTTGATACCACGATTCATGGATATAAATTGTTCTACGCTGGGCTTATCCTTAACGCTTGGATTATGAAGCGACGTGTTCAACATGATAATGGCGAAGCTGAGAACGTAACAGGTGTCGGTGTTAGTGAATATATTTGGATTGAGCTGACAGTATCTCTGTGCGAAACATTCCATCATGCGATCTATTTTTTGTGCCTCGCCAGGTAAACGAAAGGACCAGAGGAATTGTCTCAATGCTTGGACCAATATCAAGTCGGTAAAATCATGGAGTTCGACGAAGGCACGTAATACGCGCTCGTTGAAATCGTGACGTTCTCCAAGATAATCGCCGATCGCTGTCTTGTTCAAGCCCTCGCCCTTGTAAAGGAACTGAGCAACATCCTCTGGTGTTGGTGCCAACAGGTTGTGCTCGATCAGGTACTCGATGCCCTTCTTCGGGTCCATGTTGAACTTCTTACGCCCGATCGACGTCTGCTTTGCCTTGTTCGTCGGTTTCGTCTCGTTTGCAACGAGACCTCCGCCCTCCATCGCCTCCATCTCTGCCACGACCTCACCAAGTTCATCTTTCAATTGCTGTAAAACAAATCACAACAATCATTTATATATATAGACAAATATATTTTATTATATTAAATATATTTTTTTTAACAATCAATAGAAATTCATTAGAAATATTGAAATAATTCAAACGTAATAATTACATTAATTATTTCCTTTGATTACAAATCATTCCTAGTAGCACAAAATATTACAAAATATTGAATACATATATATATATATATATAATATAAATATAAATTAATGTAATTTTATATTAAATACACATTTATTCAATATTTTTCAATATTTTGTACTACTAGGGATATTGTAAATGCAGAAATAATTATCCACATATTGGAATTTCGAAATAGTACTACTTTATATAATATTAGAATAATGTAATTGTGTAGATTAATTAATAGATAAGGAATATTGGTTACACTGTTGAAATTATATACAGGAAAAAGATTCATGTTTTTATCGAAAACTAGTTTAAAAAAAAAAAAACTAATATATATTTTCTCTTTTCCTCTCATTCATTTCCATTACTTTCTCGTCACAAAGTCATTTCCTCTCAACTATAGCGAGTTAGATTACTATTCGAATGTAGCCTAGGTCCAAGTAATGTAACTATCACCACCTCTACCACTAGTACTAGTATTAGAGAACTAACCACGTAGACGTCCTTACTTTCCTTACATCACAATGCTAGAAATTCTAACAAGGATGATTATACATAGCAGAAGATGGGCGTTAAGTCCATATCATGACAGAATAATTCTGAATTACTGTAACTTTTTGCAACGATTACGTTACATTACCCTACTGTGTTGTTACCTAGTGTTCTCTCACCGACAATCACGTTCTCACAATTTTCTAACATAATTATATTTCTCATATAGAGTTAAAAGTCGACACGAGGCCAAAAATTGCATGAACTTTTTTCTAACATAAATTTTTCAAGTGAAAACTTCTTTAGAATCAGGCAGGATGATTTGAAAATCGTGAAACGGAAGAAGAACTTGAAAGAAACCACCGATGAAACAAGAATAATTAATTATATTAATAAAATTCAATAAATAATTTTATTTTATATATTAATTAATTAATTAATTAATAACACTTCTATATATATATATATATATATATATATATAAATTCAGTGTCACAATATCTTTGTGTCCACTAATAATTCCGAAATGATACTCAACTTATTTTAATGAACATTTTTTTTTATTTCACGCGTGAGATTTTTTTTTCAACTTAATACACATAGCACAATTTTTATTTAATATATTGATCGCATATATATATATATAATAATCAATGTATTAATATATATATATGCATATGTACCATGTATATCTATAATACAAAACAATATAGCCTTCAGATTTCCTTCAGGTTTTTATGAATTCATGTTCCGGTATGAAAGAACATTTGTCACCGTTCATCTAACGTAATCGGTGTTGGATCACGTTTCTGACATATCCTCCATGTAAAATAAACCTTCGTACTGACCATGTGAACGTATGTGTATGTGTGTGTGGGTGTGTTTGTAATATATACACGCAGCAGCAAACACGTACACCTGTATAAACATAAGCATGGAAGCTAAGCAAATACTTTTAGGGTAACACGAAGGAAGAAGTTAGCTTTGTCCTGTTCGCGGAAAAAAAGCCTATTCAAGGTCACCGTTGTCAAAGCAACACCACGGCTGAAAACGGATCAATGGAAAGTCGTAAATTGCACATGGGTTCTCCTTGTTACTTACTTTATTGTTATTTTATTTCAACGAATAATTATTTGCATTGTTATTTAATTAAAAATTTTTGTTTTTTTTTTTCTTTTTTAAATGACTAAACATTTGCTTGGTTTTCTTTCTAATTTGTTTTTTTTTTCCCCCTTTGTAAGAAGAAATTTGTATTTGTGTTTTCTCTTCTTCTTTGTTGTTGTTGTTGTTGTTATTTGTTAATTAAAAAATTATACGAATTTTTATAGAATAAAATCGTGTAGAAAATTTGTGCTTATCTACAAAAAAATTTTTTATTCCGCACTTGTATATATATA